CAAGCAGAAGAGGCCTTCATCCGGCAGTGGATAGACAATGGCTAAAGGATGATTATGATTGTGATGATAATGATGATGACCACTATCAGCCTCTTGTATTCTCATAGGACCCTTGATATGTGTGTCAATAAGTGCATCTTTGTGACGGAAACCCTGCTTGTTTTTTTCACATGCAAAAAAGGATGAGACTTCAATCATTTGGTATGCTATCTTGTTGACATTTTTACTTATCTGCAGACACCCCACAGCTCTCACAACTATTGGATACTGAGAGGCCCAATAAAGCCCTCTTTGCCAGGCATTTGTGTCTCCCAACTGCAATGTTCACATTTCCTATAAAGCCCCTGAGAAAAATTCTCCAAAGTATTCTGGGACAATTATACAACCTCAAATGACTACTCGGGAACACTTGATATGCTGAAGATTCCTGTCGGGATCATTAGAGGTGGTGATGCCACTGTGGTGTCACCTCTTGTGATAGAAGCCCTGGTTCCTACTCAGTAGTATAAGCAGAGGAGTCCCAGTGCAAATAAATGGGCCACACATATTACAATAATATATGTTACCATCTAGAGCTCCTCCAGGAAAGCCCACAGGCTTAAAGTGCTCATTTCCCAATTACCTAAACATGTATAAATGCAAATGAAAGAAAGAGAAAATAATGTGCATATTAGCATTTATGCTTAGATATACATTACAATCTAGTTTGCAATAAAAAAAGTAATGAATAGAATTCACAACTTCTGGAAGCAGGTTATTCCACTGATTAATTGTTCTAACTGTCTGGAAATTTCTCCTTAGTTTAGGTTGCTTCTCTCTTTGATTAGTTTCCACCCGTTGCTTCTTGTCCTGCCTTCAGGTGCTTTGGAGAATAGCTTGACTCCCTCTTCTTTGTGGCAGCTCCTGAGATACTGGAAGACTGCTATCATGTCCCCCCTCGTCCTTCTCTTCGTTAGACTAAACATACCCAATTCCAGCAACTGTTCCTTATATGTTGTTAGCCTCCAGTCCCCTAATCATCTTTGTTGCTCTTCTCTGAACTCTATAAAGTTGTGAATGCTCCAACACTGGAAGTTTTTAAGAAGAGACTGGACAACCATTTGTCTGAAATGGTGTAGGGTCTCCTGTCTGAGTAGGGGGTTGGATTAGAAGACCTCCAAGGTCCCTTCCAACTTATTATTATTATTATTATTATTATTATTATTATTATTATTATTATTATTAGTAGTAGTAGTAGTAGTAGTAGTAGTAGTATTGAAATAGAAATAGAGGGAGCATAGCTCTGGAGGGACAACTCTGCCTAAGCTGTGCCTGCTCAATCAGATCAAAGGTAACAAATGGATGGGCACCTTCAGGATGTGGAGTCTTCTATATCATTAAAGTATGGTTTGACTGAAAAGCTTAAAAGGGAGGTCTCTGTGGAAATTAGAACCCAAAACTACTTACCTTTGGCTTAGAATTTTTAAAAGTGTGTTAACATGTGCACGCATATGGTGGAAAGCACTTGGTTTTTTCCATTTCCTAGTAATAAATGATGCTGAATATGTTGACTAGATGTATTGTGAGATTAAACATTCTGTTAAACTGTTCTGTGTCTCTTTTCAGAAAAAGGAAATGGAGCTGATCCATTTATAAACACAATTGTTGCAGAAGATGCCTATGATGAAGGACAGACTGTAGCTGTGTGAATAGCGAGGATCTGAATAGTGAGGATCTGAATATTCTTATTTTGGATTATAAATGTAAAGTTTTACAAGACTTTAGCAGATTTGATTTCCAGTTAGCTAAGCAAAAAATTCTTGGATTTGGTTAAGACAGTGCAGTGAAAAAGCCTTCTGTCTCTGTCTGTCTGTCTGTCTGTCTGTCTGTCTGTCTGTCTGTCTGTCTGTCTGTCTGTCTATCTATCTATCTATCTATCTATCTATCTATCTATCTATCTATCTTTTTTTCTTTTCATCTACAATCTATTAACTTTGATGTATCTCCAGATGATATACTGTAAATGCCAGAGTTTAAGAACAGCAAAATGATAACAAATAAATAATAAAGACAGTACATTGGAAAAAAGATAGCCTTCTCAATTACAAAAACAAAAAAATCCAAATTTACAGGATGAAGACAGCTTGTGGTTAGCTTTACCTTTTATGTTAAGCTATAGTTACCAATGATTTATTAAATAAAATGCAATTGTATGGGTTTGCAAAGCTAAATCATGTGTTACAAACCACAATATCAGAGTTCAAATAGTTTAATCTACAGTCAGCTCAGGTGGACTGTCTGGTTCTCAGTGGCGCTAGGATCAGGGTCAACCTATGATGCAGGTCAGAAGAAGTACTCACACAGATGGACTGTGAGAACTGCATGTACCTTGACAGTGTATGCAGTATCATGACCACAGGGTTGAATCTAAACCAAGGATGCCCATATTTTAAGTATTTGGTCAGACCCAGAGATAAAAGAGTACTCAATTCTCACTCCAATATTTCTGCAGCTATTAAAAAAAAGGAACCATGTATATAACTGAGTGCTTTTGAAGATAGTCAGGACTGAATAACTGAATTTGGGACATGCAGTCCAGATATTCCAGCCCATATTCGTGGCTGCACCATGGCAATAAGATAAGGAGGAAGTGATGGAATGACTCTGGATTGGTAACTCATCCAACTCCAGTTTTTGTTCCAGTGGTAGCTGTGGTCAAGAGAACTTCATTCAGCTTTACCCAACAGGCCAGTTATAATCCTCCCTAGAACATGAGATTGTTCACAATCACCCAGGCTTTAATTTCCTCTTGATTGCAAGGTACAGGTAGATGGCTACTGTCCCTGAAGTGTATTTGTAAGCTACAACTGGTCCAGATTGTTGAACCCATTTAGATTATTTCTGCAGGAGCTGTGCTAGTTACGGATGGCTTCTAGGTACAATTCAGTTTTGGTTGTCACTTTCACGGTTCCGGGTTTGGATATCTGTGGGACTGCCTTCTCCAAATAACATCTGCCTACCTCATCATCACATCATATAGGCCGGTCTTTCTCCATATAAACTTGCTTAAGGAATGCCATGTCCGAGGGTGCAGAAGCATGCCTTTTCTATTGCTTTTTCCTCTTGTGGAATGGCTTTTCCTTTGGACATTGTCGGGCAAGTTTCCCTTTTAATATCTTCCTTGTTTCTATAGACCATTAACAGCTCTCTTCTAGCAGATATAAATTTGTAATATATAGTGTTAGTGGCTGTAGGATCTAATGATATCACTATTAACTAGGATTTTCTGTTCCCAGATATTCATGATAGATTACTCTCGCTGATGGAAGTGTATATCCTCTAATCATCCAGATTATAAGGATGACTCAAACAGAAAATAGAGACAAGGATGTGTTATGCAAAAGGTGCCTCCAGGACAAGGATTTTGTTTAATTGTGAAGTCTAAGCCGTGCTGATAATATGCCATAAAAGGGGTGATTTCTTGGAAAGGATTTTCTGGGTGCAGGCACCCCTTTGTGCATTCTCAAAGTACATAAGTTATAAAATCTGCTTTGTGATTTTATGTAAGAATATTTTTATATGCGATGCACATAGAAAAGAGACTGAACTTCAATCAAAAAATGTTGTGGCCACCACCTTGACATTTTGATCACACTCTATGGACACTTCAATACTTTTAAGTCAAATATTAGTGATTTAATAAGGAAGTCCAGCTAGCTTTCTGTAGCTGCCCTAAGAAACTTTTCCCTTAGCTTTATACAGAAATGAGCCAGGCACAAAGGGGAAATAAATAACATCCTTTACAAAAGTGAGAAAATATTGATCACCATGTTCTGAGTTGTTGCACCCATAAGGTTTGGTGCAGCATTGGGCCCAGATTCTAAATCATGCATTGGCAGCCCCCTCCAATGAACCCTAATCTAAGACAGAAGGTAGGTGCAGTATGGCATCGTGTGAAAAGGGTTCTTTTTCCTGCCCTCCGTAGATATGGGGGAGGGGGACAGCTAGTCCTCAATCCAAACTGGACAGGGGCTCCTTTTCCAGAGACTTCCTCCTGCCTAGTATCACTCATGCTCCACTTACCAATACCGATCAGAATGTTGTGATAAAAGTACTTTTCAAACAGAAAACAAAGGATGGGAATGGGAAATCCCTCTGCTGGACCAACAGAAAAGGGGAAGCCAACTTTAGCTCCCCTTTAAATAGTCAAAGCCCACCAATGTTCATGTTGCTTAACCCCTAGTTGACCTTCCCATGACCTAATTTTTTGGTATGTGCTAGAAAGATGGGGGACTCCCTCTCTGGACCATAAATCTGTTCTCCCTGCCTGTCCCCCTCACTTCCTGGCAACGCCTGCCCAAAACTGGACCCTGAGTGAGTTGAGTTTGGACTTGCTCACAAACAAGAGCGTTTCATGCTTCCACTTTCCTTGAAGTTTGGGGCGATTCTGGTGTAGAGTGGCTCTTGCAACCATCAAGCAAAGTGGCTTTCTTATCTAGAATATTAGTCATAGAAAAAGCATCTCTCAGAGCACCTAGTACAGGGGTGTCAAACTCAATTTCATTGAGGGCCGCATCAACATTGCGGTTGCCCTTGGGGGAGGTAGGTGGGTGTGGCCAGTGTGGGTGTGGCCTACTGGGTGGGCATGGATGGGGTGGGTGTGACCTACTGGGTGGGCGTGGCCAGCTCTACATCATTCGTGTCAAGGGTGCCTGTGGGGACCTAGGCAGGAGTGGGACAGATCTCAGGGTCTCTGGCAGAAGGGGGTGGGACTGGGGCAAGTGCCAAGGCATGGTGCATTTCTTCATTCCTCACAAAGGGTGACACCTCTCCGGCATGCACTGAGGGGGCGGGGCCGACACGGCAGGGGCTGGTTCCTTGCTGTTTCCAGATGGCCTTGTGGAGCTAAGACTGAATGCGTTTCAGCATAGATGGCCACCACAAAATTGTACATTGGCTCCTGGCCGGCCTGGGCCAGGGTCAAGGCAGCGGGGGCCGTTCCCTCACTTTTTCAAAGATAGCTTCGCGGGCCACATGAAACCACTTCGCGTGCCACATCCGGCCCCCAGGCCTTGTGTTTGACATGTCTGACCTAGCAGTTAAAGGAAATGAACAACAGAACTCATTAAATCATCTGGATCTGCTTAATAAACTTCATAAGCTGCTCATCTAGAAATAATGAATGGCTAAAACAGCCACCACCGTGTCCAAAATCCCAGGTTGCAGGGGGGCATGGGAGGTCAAAAACAGTGGTTGCATCTACACAGTGAAAGCTCCCTCTATTTTTTACATAAGTCCATCAGAGTCCTAGCTGTCTCTGGACTTTTTTGAACCCCATGTTCCTGTAAAGGTTTCATAATTAGGAAGTGCAGGTAGTCCTCAACTTACAACTATTTGTTGAGTGACCGCTTGAAATTACAACAGCACTGAAAAAGAGTGACTTATGACCATTTTTTACACTTACAACCGCTGCAGCATTCCCATGGTCATGTGATTGAAATTCAGATGCCCCTGGCAACCGGTTCCTATTAATGGCAGTTGCAGTGTCCCACGGTCATGTGATCACCTTTTGCGACCTTCTGACAAGCAAAATCAATGGGGAAGCCAGATTCACTTAACAACCGTGTTACCAACTTAACAGCTGCAATGATACATTTAACAACCCTGGCAAGAAAGATCATAAAATGGGGCAAAACTCACTTTACAACTGTCTGGCTTAAGAACAAAATTTGGGGTCTCAGTTGTGGTCATAAGTGGACGACTACCTGTACTGTCATTAAATGCAGTGCTAGAGAAATCTCTTGGTTGGCCCTGAAAGAGGAAGCGGACTCCCCCCTGGGGTGGGACTTGTGTGCTCCAGAGCCAGTGTGGGGAGGGAAACTAACACAGAGGTGTCGGTTTTACTTAAGGGGGAGTGAAATTCACGTTTGTGTGGGGGGGGACAACCCTAAAGAGAAATGGCACCCCACAAAAGATGCCACTGCAACCAATTCTTACGGAAATCCTTTCATTGGCTGGTTCACTCAATGACTCTCTGAACTGCAGGATGACTTCGCCCTAGAGAAGTTCTGTAGAAACTCCTGCTTGAGTTGGCTCTTTTCTGAAAACGCCAAAGGCCTCGTGCGCTGCTCCCCTGCACCGCATGCTCCGGCCCAAGGCTTTAGTCCTCCTGGGGGAGGCAGGCGTGATGCGGATGGAACGTGGAGCGCCGGCTTGAATAATTTGGTTACATCAAAGCAAGTCACCTGTTGCTCTGAAAACGTGCAGACAAACTCAGCCAGTGCGATTCCATCTCCCGGGGCTGCCAGAGCCCCGCCCACCCTAACACACGCCTGCCTGCCTGCCTGCCTGCCTGAAAAAGGAGCGTTAGCCCCAGCAGCCGGGCGTAGGGGAGAGCTTCCCTTCCCTTCCTTTTTATTTGGGCTGTTGGAGTGTTTTCTGCTTGTCCGAACCAGTTAGACTTGCCGCGCGGAGAGGATAACCAAGTGGCTGATTAAAGTGAGCTCACTTTCATCACTTACCGTTCAGCCTGCACAAGCACGAGTCCCGGGGCTTCTGGTAATTCCGGGGGCCTGCCCTGCTCCTGACCCGAACTCTTGTATCTCCGGCATAGTGAGTGATGTTGCGCTGGAATTTCCTGTCCTAAATCGCTGCCTCTTCGGGAGGACCCTGTGAGTAAACGCTGCTTTTTTGAACTCGGTGTGGGAATCTCACACTTTAAATGCCAGCTGCTCTCTCCCTCCCTCCCTTTTTTTGAAAGGCTGGGTTAATGTACAGGAGCGCTTTCAAGGCTGCTCCCATCAGCCTGCCAAGTTTAACTTGCTTGGTGCCTTTGAACTTCGGTGCCCTGGAGCATTCCGAATTAAGGAATATCGCTGTTTCCAAGTAATGCTACTCGGTTCTTTCTGTGCCTGCTCTTGTTAAAAATAAGTACAAGAATTATGAGGTTTTGATCCGAGGAACAGGCTGCATTTGGCTTACAATGTGTCTTTTTAAAATACTACAGTGGCTGGATGGGATGTATGATATGCAGTTGTGTTAAGAGCCCTTCCTTTTATGTTTTTAACTTTTTTGGGGGGTTTGTATTTGAATTTGTAAGTCACCCAGTGTCTATGGAAATGGGCTGTTGCAATAAATTTAAATAGATAATTAAATAATCATCCTTTTTAGTGATGCATCCAGTGTGACTTTTATCAGCTTTGCTAAGTAAGTCCCATTGTGTCTACTTATTATGGAAACATGCTTGGAACAAATATCCACAATTTAATTGGTGCATACGAGTCTTGGATTAGAGAAATGGTACTTTATGCTGTCCCCTCTGTTAGAGGTTAGTCTGTAATTATCCATAAGCTTCTGTAGAAACAAGTCATTGAATTTAGTAGGATTTATTTCTGGATAAAGAGGCCCAAGGTCAGATGGAAAGCTTTTAGAGGGAAGCAATTAAATGAAAGGCTACAGGTAGGGAACAGGAGCCTTGATTTCTATCTGTCACCTGGTTTATAGGGATAAGTAAATCATCAATGAAAAAGAGTTTTAAAATTTCTGGGAAATGCTGCCTTAAATTGTGGGTATGTGTTCCAAGCATATTTCCATAATAAGTGGACACAGTGGGACTTAGAAAAGTTGCTAAAAGTCACACTGGATTCAAAGCCTTTATTTTTGATGTTTTTTTATGTAGCAAAAGTATTTCATTGATATTCAACCTTTCCTCCACTAGCTTAAGGCAGACTTAAGGAAAGTCTTCTTTAAAATTAGTTCTTGTAGTAACTATCCAGTGAGGGAAGCAGAGCTCTTCCTGCATAGAAAGCTGATTTTTTGCTCTGAATGGCCATAGAGTCCTTGGTACCAATACAATAAAAACTCATTAATTTTAATAAAGATACAAGGTTGTAGAAGGCTTCAGATATTCAAGTTTACATGAGCTTTCTGTCAAGAAAAATAGCTGCCTATAATGCTTTCTAAGAATGTGTTATGTAGAGAAAAATGTTGTTTGCTGTAATATGACTTGCCTTCTTTTGCTTTAATTTAGATTAGGCTGTGGGTGGTTTCTGGATTAGTGCATCTCTTCTGTCATCCTGATGAGTCTGTGGAACTGAAAATACCTCATCTATGCCCTCTCCTCAAACCATGGTTAAAACTAAAGCAGAGCCACTGAAACCCAGTGCTCAAATTATGTAGTGTGCAAGATTGCCGTATAGCTGTGGTGCAAATTGCAATATTAAAAATAATGCTGGGCAAGGGCATATAGAATACTATAAAAGAATTGGAGATGCTAAATGGAATTTTGCATCAGTATTCCTTGAATACCAACAGGGTCACTGGTTAAAAGTACAACTTGAGCATTTCTTATGGGTTTTTGATTAATATCAGTGCTCCTAGCACAAACAGAACTTCCACAATTTTTTAAAATTGATAATTATAGAATAGAAAAATATATTGTATATATTCTGCGTTGTTCCATGTAACAACTTGTAAAACTGCGTTTTACACTGTAGTTTTTCCTGCAGTGCCTCTGTATCTAGTTTTCCCATTTAGAGATTTTATAATGCAGTGAAATAAGTGATGCAAAGAGGCATGTAAAAAAAAATATTCTGTGAATCAGCCTGACATATAGTGTGTAACTTTACAATTCCTCTTAGAACTTCCCTATAATTTCTTCCTCTACAACAGGGGTGGGCAACTGTGGCAACTTTATGACCTGTGGACTTCAACTCCCACAATTCCTGACCCGGCTATGGCGACTAAGAGGAATTGCCATAGTTGCCCACCCCTGTTCTACAACCTAGTGCCTTCTAGGGCTGTCTGGCACTGAGACTGTCATCCATTTGGAAGAGGTCAGGTTGGGAAAAGCGCATTTAAATTTTTGATTCATATATAACGGCCTCTGCTTCACTTAAGTCCTTTCAGGATAATTTTTGCAATGTTTCATTGAAAAATAATAGGCAACACTAAGTCTATTGCATCTATCTCTACCAGTAATGGGTAGGTTATGAACAACCTGCATGGAAGTTGAAATTGACTAGAGATTGGGAAAATAGCATCTAAATACTGTAGATTATTTCTTCCTAAAACTACTATACAAAGCTTTTCTCTGAATAAAATTAGAATCTTGACTCATACCTATAAGATTTACATTTCTCCTTGAACATTATATTCCTGAAAAATAAAATCACATAAATCATTAAACCTGAAATTGCTTATCACAGGAAGCAAATTGCCATTTGGCTGAGATAATATTACAATGAAATTCAGAAAACTAGCTTTTTATATTGACAAAAGCACAATCAACATGGTTTACCTAATGACTGAATTAAGTTATTTTCTAGGATTGCCCAACAGGTTGAACCATAAACTAGTTAATGTGTTGGGTTTGTAAGTCATAGAAAAATACTAAGTGCATTTTAATTAAGCTTAGTATGGATTCAGATAGCCCTAATTATAGCTAAGCTAATTTTCTCTCCGCTTTTTACTTAAAAGTCTTACAGTTGATAGGGTGAGCGCTTCTACCATTTCTACATAATATGGTATCCAAAATATTTTTACCTCCTTTCCTTTCTTTAAATAGATAAACGCATTCCTCTTTTTCCTGAAGATGTTTCCAGTCCACTTACATTACCTCTCTTATGCCATTAAAACCTAAAGGACCTCAGTTCCAAATTGTTTTATAGTTTTTCTTCTGCATTTGTCTGCTCTTCATTTAGCAAATTGTATAATCCTCCAATTCTGCTTTTCCTTTTATTCAATATAGTGGTACACGTTGCACTCCTTGCTATGCCAAACCATTTCAAATCACGTCTTAAATTAGGTTGGCATGTTATGCTTTGCCCTATGCAGACCTAATGGGATTGTGGAAAGAAAAATCTTCATCAGGTCCAGTCCAAGTTGGGAATAAACAAAATGGAGACTGTCTTAGAAAGAAGGTTGTAGTTTATTGAAGAGCAAAGCCAGACAGAAATGTGGCTCTGGGAAAGCTGACCACATGTAGTAGGAAGTGGTTTTTGTACCTTCTTGAGCTTTTGTTTGGAGTTGTTCCTGTGGCATGAACTTTGACCTGAGTCTGAGTGTGCCTTTCTGATATTCTGATGGTGGTGGGTTAATCCTATTATGTCCCAAAGGTCATATCCTGCTTCCATGGGGCTGTGGCTGATGACTGTTGGATTTTTTTGGTGGGAGGGATTGTTTATTCTAGAGATCTTTGTCTTTCTAATCCAACTTCCTGGCTCCAATATTTCTGAAAAGATGATCACATCTGCATTTCTGCAGACCTGATATCTGTTTGGGCAGAGAGATTTGGGGTGGGGGTGTCTGTCTTTAAGATCCTTTGGGGAAATATAATATTCTGCCTTTTAATATCCCCAAAAATATTTCTTTCTCGGGGGGGGGGGCTGACTTCCCACAGGATGATAGCCTATAAAACCCATTTCCTTTTTGTGAATATGTGCAACTTGAATGGCAATCATTTTTTTACCTTATGGGCACATGAAATTAATGAGTGGGGGATGCTTGTGCAGACATTAGCAAGCAATAGTACTTAAACTTACATACTGCTTCATAATGCTTTACAGCACTCTCTGAGCGGTTTACACAGTTAGCATATTGTCCCCAACAATCTGGGTTCTCATTTTACCAATCTCGGAAGGATGGAAGCTTGAATCAACTTTGAGCCAGTCAGGATTAAACTCCTGGCTGTGGGCAGAGTCAGCCTGCAATTCTGCATTCTACCTACTATGCCACCACAGCTCCTACATTGCACTCACCCCTCCCCCTACATTTCGTACAACACCTTTGTGGGATTTTGAGATAGTGATTGGTCATAGTCACCAGGTGAGCTTCCTTGCTATGGGTGAGCATGACCTGCACAGTGGTGGAATTCAAATATGTGAACAACCGGTTCTCTGTGTAGATGCTGCTTCTGGAAGTCCATTCTGGTCCTAGGCAATAAAACATTAGCTACCGGTTCTGCCGAAGTGGTGCGAACTCGCTGAATCCCACCACTGGACTTGCGTCTCCATATCACGTAGGCCAGTGATGGCTAATCTTTTAGAGACTAAGTGCCCAAACTGCAACCCAAAACCCACTTATGCATCGTCGGGTGCCAGGTGGGTGTGGCCCATTGGCTGGGTGTGGCCAATTGGGGTGTGTGGCTCATTGGGTGGCCGTGGCTTTGGTGGTAACGGCAGACTGGATGGGACTAAAAAGTTCAATCAATCAATTCCTACTTTGCAAGATCTTTTTTTTCCCCCACGAGAAGTTGAAATTGACTGATTGATTGAACCTTTTTTTTTTTGCACATGGCAGTGGAGACCTAAAGCGAAAAGATTTTATAAAACCCAGCTGAAGGCCTAGGACTGGGGCAATGGCGAAAGGGCTCTGAGTGCTGCCTCTGGCACCCGCGCCATAGGTTTGCCACCACTGACATAGACCTTCAGGCATGTATTCCATTGTAAATATGTAGGCTCCCCATGTTTTCAAGCAGTTAAACAACAAATGTCACAAAGCCAGGAATTGTGACTTTAATGTTTTTTTTTAATAGTCTGCAACATATACAGGTGTGGAGGGGGAAATGTTTGGAGGAGGATGAATTATGACATATTTGCAGGTGAAATGAGAGTGCAGGTGGTTGAGCCAGCTGATAAAACTTGCTGCTCCTTTGCAGAGTTAGTTTTTCTGT